CAGTATTGGCGCCATTCTGGCGCCAAATGGCGCCAATTTGGCGCCAGCGCCAAAAATGGATGTCATATTCGTGATCAGGACCCTCGATAACCCCCATAGCAGAAGTTTCAGCGAAAATTATTTTTGACCCATCTCACCCCCACTGGGGTTGTAATAGTGCAATAGTGCCAAAATATCTTCTTCGGAGCGTATTTTCACCGTTTCGCAAATATGACTACACATCACTTGTCGAGAGATTTTATTATAACAAAAAAACGTCACAAATTTTCAATAATGGGATGGTCCTCCATAATCATAAGGAACACAATAATACGTTTTGGAATGCTGGTAACCAAATTAGCTATTACAGTAGGATCGAAATTTGTCTGTGCGCCGATGATCGACGTTTTCAGCTCTTCGGCTGTTCCATTTTGCTTTCTTTGCTGTGGAACTTTATAACAATTAAGGCCCAATGATTCTCTATTGGAATCTGATTCAGATAACATGGTGGCCACCAGATAACTGCCACATTTTTTCCTGCAACTTCCATCTGGCGTGGAAGGACCGGCATGGACAGCCGCGTTATCGTGCGTAAAAATCAAGGATCGAGGGGATTGTTGTCGAAAAAATGGTAAAAGTCGCTTCAAAAGAACTTCACGATACCCTGGAATCCTCTTGAAAGGAAACAAAAGCGAGCTCTAGCCGCTCAGTCGTTCAAAGGTGCCTCAAACCATAAGGGATTCTCCGCCGAAATTACGTTACTTAAAACCATCTGCGATTTTCACGGGATCCTCCTGTACCCTTTTTTCTATCAGATCCACCTAGAATAAACTTTTTCACGTCGATCCCAGATCACCTGTAGCACGAAACAAGGAGGTAGAGTCCAAGATCGCGAAGGGTCTTAACAGCCACACCTTCGTTCATTAAGTTGAGCCCTTTTCCACGGAGAAATGGAGACTTGCGATCTTGTAGCGCTCAAATAATCTTGGAACGCTCTTCATCAATCCGCTGAAGATGTTATTGCTCTGCTGGCTTACTCACCACACGGTGGTTTTGCTCACGGAAGGCCGCATTTCAGCACGGACTTTGTTCGGACTCCTTGTATAATTCGAGAGAAGACACCCAATTCCTCTAAATTTTGAAGGAAACGCAGTCTTTATTTACCTAGGCTACTCTTCTCTCCGCACTGACCAGGATTTTGCACATAGTTGCTTATGCAGTATGAGCCGGCCGACATGGGAGGAAATTCTGCTCCTCAGCTATCCCACTTCAGTAAGTGCTCTGGCTTGAGCTTGTTACTGGGAAGAGAGGCGAGTAACACGAGGTATGGTAAACTCGATGTCGACTGAGCTCACATATATCCCCGCTTCCCTGATTCCCTTCACGGATCATGAGAAATGGAAACTTTATGAGTGGCCCGATATTCATGAAACGGTGAAAATTCGTTCTGAAAAAGTTATTCAGGTTATTTGCGGAGGGAATTCAATATAAGGAATCTATTGGTGGTAGCAGCATTTCCCAAAAATGCACAGCAACTTTGGATAGCAAAAATTTAGGGTGGACCTATATTTATGAAACGCAGTGTATAACGGTTTTAAAAGGCTTTTTAGTTAAGTTGACAAAAAACAAAACCTCAAGCCCCGGGAGGAACCGAAACCCCTTGCTTGAGAAGCAAGACCGCTACCAACTGCGCTACCGAAGCTCACCACATGGCTGGTCGGTTCTTCTTTCGATACTTTTATAATGGAGCTAACATGTGATTGCAGGCAAGACACTGAAAATCAAGGGCGGCAACAAAAACCCTCCGTAACTCCTTTCAGAGAAGAGTTCAGCAGATAATGAAAGCAGATTTGAGTTCAGCGTCTCATGCTGCGTACAGAAATGTGCACCTCATTTCATTTGGCCGGGTTGGCCTAATGACCTTTCCTGGTTAAGCTGGTATCGGAGTCCGCGATACGTCGCAGGTTTCGCGCGTTTGCGCGATCGCAAAAATCGCAAGTGCCCCATTTGAACATTTGAAACACTGAATATGAAACAAGTAGAATCATGAACAGTCGTCATTCAGCCATCACCATCAAGCAGAAATGGCGGCGGGATTGGAGAGCACCTTGCAGTATTGATCGGGCACTTGTGATTTCTGTGACCCGTCGCGCGAAACCTGCGACGGATCGCGGACTCTGACATAAGCCTTAACACTGTGTATTAGAGAAGTTTTAATTTAATTAG